AATAAAATATGATGACCGGAGTCATAATGGCCGGAGCCGCAATAAAATATGATGGCCGGAGCCATAATGGCCGGAGCCATAATGGCCGGAGCCGAAATAAAATATGTGATACAGGATCACTGTGGCCGAAGTCGATGTGAGATGTAATGCAGCATTATTATGGCTGGAGCCGAAGTGGAACACTTGACAAAATTGAGAAAAGTAAACAGAGGTGTTGAAATGGGCGTGATTGGGTCCGTCTGGAAAATCTGACAACGTGATGTGACAGTTGTCTTTAGAATGACATGTGCAATAATGCAGCCGTAAAAAGATAATTGCAACAGTTAAACCAATGTTTTTGAACCCGGCCCGGTGGCTGGCCCGTTTTGACCACCGGGTCCGAGTCAACAGGTTGAACCGGTTCACCCGACCGGTTCAACCGGTCAACTAAAGTCAACTAAAAAACTTTTTTTTTGGGCATTTTTAATTTTTTATTGAATTTTGCTTTTATACCTTACCTTCACGGTTTCACCCGAAAACGATACAAATCGTTTTGAGCAGAACAGACGAGGGAGATGAAGATGATCGGCGAAAGAGAAGAAGTGCAGCGACGGAGGAGAGGATCGGCGGACGCTCGGCAGAAAAGATGATCGACGGACGATCGCGGAAGAGAGGATCGGTGGACCATCGGCGGACAAGAAGATCGACGGACGAGAAGATCGGTGGAAGAGACGATCAGCGGATGGTCGGCGGATGATCAGCGGACGATCGGCGGACGATCGACGAACGAGAAGATGATGAAAATTTCAGCCCGGCCGGTTGCAACGGGTTGCACGAGTTTAACGGGCGGGACGGGTCTGACGAGTTTCAACGGGTTTCAACGGGCCATTTGCTTAAACAGGTTGAAGTATTCAACCGGCCCGTTTTCAGGTCCGGGTCCGGTTCAACCGGTTCAACCGGCCGAGCCGGGCCGGGTCCAAAAACATTGAGTTAAACGGGCAAATTTAAAAACGAACCGTCAAGTTTAAAACGGTATTGTTTGGGGTTGGCCATTGAATTCCAAACGGTGTCAACAAGGACCGTAAGATTAAACGAACCTCAGCCATTGAGATCTAATTTTGCCCAGAAGTATAAATAGGCATTTTTTTTGCAGAAAAATGTTTACTTGCATTTCTTTTCCTGCAAAACTTCTGCGAGAAGCTTCACCGTATGTTTCCTGTGCGTGAACTGCAGCATCAACTGGGGAATTCTAAATCAAGTCTTTCGAAACCAAAATCAGGTAATGTAGACGGAACTCTGATTTTAAGTTAATCGAAGCGTCTTTCTCCTTTCTCCCTTTCTGTGATTGATTTAGAGTCCTCTGAAGGACGTTAGGGTTAGAGATGAGAAGGGTTTTGAATGTGTAATGAAAGGGGGGTTGACCTTGCCCATGAGGCAGAGATGAATTACCAGCTCGGATCGATCGAGTGTGAACCATGACGGAAGAGCAACTAGGGAGCTTTCAGTTCGATTCCCACAGACGGCGCCAATGTAATTGCACCAAACCAGAAGTCCTTTTCCAGTCCACGCTTGCACTCCGAAATGACCTGCAAAGCCCCGAGGTGGAACTCGGGGTAAACACTCCGATGCTTAAGTCAGCAATAATCGGGGCTACCTTTAGGGCGGAGATAAGAAAAGCTTAAGGTTGGTTTCAATTACCTTTTTGACGTGGCCCGGGGGGGTATTTATAGGGTCCAATGAGGAACCCACGTGGCATGCCAAGCAAGATAATCGGAGCCTGACGTGTTCATCCAGATGATTATTCCAGGACCAGGAATTTGAGAGGTATCTAGATGCGCAAGTGTCCACCATACTTGCTGTGCAACTCATCATAAGGAATCAGGTACGGGCATGCTCATTGCCATTGTCATGCAGCTATTTGAGCGGGAAGCTTCGGATTTATTCCTCACTTCGGTCATAGAGGAATTACTGTAGCAGTCCGAGGCTTGGCACCTTGGACCTGTCCTTACAGATTTAAAATTGAAGACTGAGAGTAGACTGTGCAAGCATTGAGCGCATGTTAGGCAGATAAGTTTTCTTACTCCTTTTGAGGCAAAAACAGCACCCTAAAAAAACATGAGGTTGAGCTCAGTGCAGAAAGTTCAGTTCCTTTTTAAAAGTGGTCTAATAGGATAAAATTGAAGCTTTGTTTTCTTTTTGAACCTGTTGTACATGCTCTTAATATTTGCAGTACAAATTTTAAAAAAGCAACTGCCAAAAACCAACCTTCCTCCCCAAAAATTTTTTAGACTTTAGAAACTAGAGTGACAATTTTGATTTCATTTGACGAAAATAGAGAGTAAGAGCATGTTGGTGAAACTTATAAATGCTTCAGCCTTTTGATATTATTCATGTTTCATAAGTTAAAATTTTTTTCTTAAAAATTTATATTTTTTTAACCTTTTTTTTTTTAATTTTAAAAAGATTTTAAACAGTAAATTTTGAAATTTTTAAAATTTTTGTTTTTTATAAATTTTTTTTTACTCATTTCTTACTCACTTTTAATTATTTTTAATAGTAACTTTTAATTTTTTCAATAAAAATTTAAATTTATAACTCATAAACAATACTAAAAAAAAAAAGAAAAAAAAAAAGAGTAAAAGTTGCAACCAACTCCACCAAACAGCCCTAAAAGACTTACAGGGTTGGAAAATTTTTTAGTTCAATCTTTTGATTTTTGAGAATAAGTTTACAAAGCCCAAAATGAAGTGGTCTGGAAAGCCTAGATTTCATTTTACAAAGCCCAAAATGAAGATCCAATTTCCAAGCCCGTAATTTCTTATTTTCACATTTTTCTTTTTTCTTTTTTTAATTATCAAAAAATTAGTTTATAATCTAAATTATATCATCCTGCAAAACATAAATTTTTAAACGAGAAGCTGATTCTCTTATGTTAAGAACCATTTTCCATTCAAAAAAAAATCTTTATTTTATAGTTCAAATTATAAAAGATTTTTTAATTATTATCTTTTGTGAGAGCTTAAGAACCAGACACGAGAGAGACAAAATTGCACATAGAGTGCTATTGTTGGGTTTAGAAGCTCATATGTTTTAGTTTAGGGGCTGAATTGAGTATATGGTGTCAGTTCATGGGCTTAATATGACTTTCGCCTAAAATCCACGCCAGAGTCAAAACCCCTTTTTCTCCATAAACCCTCCTGAGAACCCTAACTACATTACCCAAAAACCATCTCCGTCTTCTCCAGCCACTTCTCGACCAAACCCATCCGAACCGGAAAGGGAAAATGGCCTTGACTTTGCTGCTTCGTAGAGCGACCTCCGCTGCGGTGCCTCTGGTGACCCGAGCCGTCCGACCCAGCAGGACCGTCCATACCGCTATCTCCACTGTCGGAAAGTGCGCTTTCAGCCGTGAACTCAACCGTAGAACCTTTGTTCCGTTTCAGCGATTCTCTACTGCTACGGCGAAGAAATCCAGCTCCGATGAGAGTCTGATCCAAGTTCTTGAATCTGAAATCGTATGCGCAGAGGAAGATCGATCAGCGGAGCAGGTGACTTCTCATACTTTAAATTCACTCTTATATATATATATATATATATATATATATATCCTGATCTTTATTTAGCGTTTCTGCTATTATCTGCTTATTTTACCATGAAAGATTGTGATAGTTGAGTAAGTTTAACTGATTGTGGAGTTTTAATTTCTTTTTCCTACATCTTAGATTGAAGAAGAAAGAAAAGGAGAGCTGTCCTCTTGAAATTTTGTGTCATCAAATGGGTAATTCTGTAGTTGAAGTTGGTAAAATTTGAGCTTAGAGTCTGGAAAGTGTGATATAGGCAATGGGGTGTTGGAAATGATTTTGTTGAATTTTAAGTGGATTTCTGTATGATGAAGTTGAAATTATTATTATTTTGATCACTGCTAATGAAAAATTCTCTTGCTTTATTAGGTTTTCTATTCCAAGTTCTTTGCTTGTTGTACCCTGTCGAAAGAAAGTTGTTTAGATGTGTGCAAACAAATCTTGGCGAAGTGTTTTGCTATTTGGAATTTGTGGTCTGCCTTGTTCTTGATTATGGCACAAAATTTTTGTAGTACTGGTACCTTGCTTTAAGAGTACATATATTACGGTACATTTAGTTATCAGCCAAGTTCCTTCATTGCAATTCATTTCTCAATGTAGTCATTAGCACTTCCATTTTATCCCATATGTTTGCCTATTGGGTAGTTTTGTTAATCCACATAGTGTCATCATAACTCTCTTAACTTGAAAGGATGATGCTTTGTGTTTTTTGCCAAGGTCAGGTTGCTTATAAATACTGTTATTGAAGTGTTTGAGATTGTTTATTTCCTTAAGTGTTTGAGATTGTTCATTTCCTTACTTTTCCTTGAACCATACAAAACAGGTTGATGTCCCAGATGGCTTTCCTTTTGAAGTCCAAGATACTCCTGGGGAAAGGACTGTATGTTTAACAAGAAAGTATCAAGATGAAATTATCAACGTAAACGTTGACCTTCCTAATGCTTTAGATCAGCCTGAACATGATGATGAGGATGAGGGTGAAGAGTCACAAACTAGTGTTCCAATGGTTGTGAGTGTATCAAAAGGAAATGGTGTGTGTTTGGAGTTCGGTATCACTGCTTCCCCAGACCAGATTAGCGTTGATAGTTTGTCAGTTAAGAAACCAGAAGCCTCTGAAGATGAGCTTGCATACGAAGGACCTGACTACAGGTAAGCTTGTTATTCTTACATCCTTTATAACATCTTAAGAATTTTTTGTTCTAAAAAAAGGAAAAAATTCTGAATGCACATGTATTTCTTTCCCTTTTTTTCCCAATTCTTTTCAGTGACTTGGATGAGAACCTGCAAAAGGCTTTTGAGAAATATCTCGAGATTAGAGGAATCACTACCTATACAACCAACTTTATGTTGTCTTACATGAAAGATAAAGATAACAGAGAGTACTTGCAATGGCTGAGGGAACTTAAGAACTTCGTTGCAAAGTGAACTTCAGATGATGCAGTTTGCTTATTGCTACATTAACTCTTTGAAGTTTAAATATTGTTAGGTGTACTAGTACCATGTACCAGGCGAAGGAAGACTGTTCATTATTCATGAAAACCATTTACGAGTGGTGAAGTATCGAACCTCCTTAAGTACCCAATAATCATTTTGATAGATTTGAAAGTTGATGTTTTTCTTGGATGATACATTTTGTTTCGTATGTAGTGATCATCAATGAAGTTTACTTTCAAAATGCTTACTTTGGTTCACTGTTTGTTACTGGGGAGACAAAAATATGAAATATGGGCAAAATCTAGATTTCCTTGTTCCAGAAGACTGTATAGGAGGTCAACGAAGTTTTAAATTATGAACTAAGATAAAGTGTTCCTGTGATCAATATGCTTTTACCAAATATTGATTCAATGGCCACCTTAAGGATGTCTCGATAGACAGCATGAGACTAAGTTGGATTGGAGGAACATTGTGACTCTCACGGGCAGTTAGATATTGCTGTTTGAAATTAGTTTGTCTACCCTCATTTCTTTTTTTTCTTTTTTTAATTTGACAAATAAAAGTTTTAGAGTTATTGATAACAGCTATTTTTAGTTTAATATCCAATTAATATCGTTGAGAAAAAAAAAGTAAATAATGACGTTAATTATATATTTATATTTTTTAAGATATTAATTTTGTTAATTTTTAAATGAAAATGTAAATTTTCATATTTTTATATTTAAAAATATTAATTTTTAAATTTTTTATTTAAAAATGTCAATTTTTAAAATTTCAATCGAAAAGTCTATGTATCACATCAGTATTACCATTTAATTAATAATAAATAAATAAAGTTAAAAATTAATACTTTTAAATAAAAAAA